ATATCCCAATTTGGTTGAATTGAGCTTAGATTTTTATTAACTAAACGAGTTTCTTATGCCTTAAATTTTCATTTTATGTTTGCGAAATTGTAAAACCCTATTTTACGCTGTATTCCCGATATTTTTTTACTGCTAGTCCTTGCCTTTGTATTATGCTTTATTAAACAAATTGTATTAAATACTTTGGCCAGTTACTTATTCATGGTTTTATGTGCTCTGTGGGTTCAATGTAATTCTTATCTAGACAGTTTCAAAATGCTTGCTTGATATCTCTTGACAATGGCTTACTTCGGCTTACTCCATTCATGCTTTCTCCGTGTACCTTTTTAGCCCTTCTCTGCGGCATCCCATCCAGTCACATTGTCATCGAACGTCTTATGTGCTTCCTCTCTGTCGACACTTCGCGCTTCGAGTCGCAATTTCGTAGCTTCCCTTTCTCATCTAATCGATTCTGAAGAGGCCAAGAACTCGTCCACTTCAACCTCTTCCTACCCTGCCTCATCCCCTGAAGTGGCTCACATAGGCGAACTAACACGTGCTGCTCGCATCGTCCTCTTCATGAAAGGCGATCCTTTTGCCCCGCGTTGTGGCTTTTCTAATGCCGTTTGCCGCATTTTAGAGATGCATGGTCTGTTAGAACGTATGAGGTCTGGCGAAGTTGGTTTGTTCGCTTCCCATGACGTGTTGGTTGATGAAAATTTGCGCAAATCGGCCAAAGTCTACGCGGATTGGCCCACCTTTCCTCAGGTTTATTTTGACGGTGATTTCATTGGAGGCTGCGACATTCTCCTTGAAATGCATCAGTCCGGAAAACTTGCGGAGGAGCTAGAAACCAGGGGTATAGGCTCCGCACTGAAAGAATCCAAAAATTAAACCTAACAGGATATCATTTTCATAAAAGATCACTTACTCCCTTTGGTACCATAATAAGTCTTTGGTGCTGTGAGTTTGCATATGCAAACTAGTATGCTTTATTATTCATTGTAGTCATTCATTTCGAGTGCTCTTGCTTACATCTTTTTCTCGACTTAGAGAATTGAATATATTGATGATTATCTCCTTTCATAGCTGCACATTTATGTAATTTTTATAAAAAATATATTTTTACCTTAATTATTTGTTGTTCCTACTACCTGGACAGGGTTTTATTAGTTATTTCG